CCAGCGGGTTAGCTCAGTTGGTAAGAGTGTTGCACGTTTGCTGATCTTATCCGCACGCGCAGAAAACAGGGGAAAAAAGAAACAAAAATAACGAAAACTGACTACAACGGATTTTTTCCCCTATATGATAAAACACCTTTATCCATGCTTAGTACTACAAACTTAGTACTGCTTCCAGTACTACAGCACGTAGTAAGCGCCGAAAGAGCTCAAGAATTGTGAGAAGCACTCGCCTAAAGATGATATTGTGTTTGCGATTACCTTTGGAAAACTGTTCCTGGATAATATTGTTCAAACTTCCTAAACCAAACTCCGCCAGCCATCTCTTASTGTTGGAATTATCTTGTACTTTGGAATCCGCTCCTTCGCACTGACACCGAGCTAGCGGCCTCAAAGGTACATCACTACATGTTCTGTTGGTTGGAATCTTAGAGAACACGCCGTTGACTTTATAATCCACGGAAAACTTCTTGTCTTCGTCGTGTAGTGACATGAGTGCCGTATGAAGATCGTAGGCTGATAGTAGGCGATTTTGGTTGTATACTAATGCTTCGGTTCTTTGTTTGCCTAATAAGTCTGCCACGTGATTAGGCAGAATCATGAAGAGAAGTGGATGGTAGCGCTCGTGTCTTAAAGTGCGCATGTGGCCGTGGTCTGCCATGAGAATTGTCAACGTGTTGGGATCGCTAAAAGAAAGAAAAAAAAGAGAAATTTTCTACAGTAAACTACCAACCGCTATTATTCATTGATAACTAAAAAATAACTAGAGCTATAAACCCTTTTAATAAATTGACGCGGTCATATTTATTCATTTGAAAATGTTTTTWAAAAATGAAATTGAAAAGAATAAATTTGATGTCACGTGATAAGCACGGGTGGCGTAGTGGTGGGAGCGCTCGCCTCTCTTCAATGGAACCCAGGTTTGATTCCCGGTGTCGTCAGTGTGAGTAGAGTTGCTTGTTGGTTCTCTCCTGTGCTTCGTCGAGGGTTGTCTTCGGGCTCTCCGGTTTTCTTCCCTCAGCAAAAATCAACCTCTTAACTCAATTTGGAATTTCGTGGACGAAGAACTACTCTATATGGAAATGCCACTGTTTATTTATTTATTTATTTATTTATTTGATTTCGCTTCGATCCAATCTTACCTGGCCATGTTATGGATGAATTCTGCAAGTCCACGATCATCGTTGCGTATTCGAGACCCCGTTTCAGTATGGCCACTGTTAAAATGCTGGTACAAGAATATAGGAGCGCTATCGTCTGTCTCTCTTATTTCTTT